GTGTGTCTTTCCCAGGCAGTTCCAAAGGTATCCTGAGGCTCTTTCCATTGGAAAGCAAGATGTTCTCCATGACTGTGCTGGCAATCACCTCTCTTAAGCAGCAAAAGGTGCCCCACTAGGTTATTTTAGCAAGGGAGGGTTACAGAAGTCGCTGTGGTGGCTGGGGCAGCTGCTAAGTCATTGTTGCCATCGATGGGCAGGGGTGAAAGCAGCGAAGTGTCTGCCCCCTGCAAAGCCTGCACCCAGGGTCAGCCTCTTCTGCTGGTCCATGCAAGTCAAGAAAGTGTGGCAGCAAGTGGGTTTCTTTACAGGTCAGTAACTGTAGTCAGCTCTCCCAGGCTTTCAGAGGGACTATTCCTGAGGAGGGGTGGTTTCTATGCCAGCTCTGTGGAGGTTGCAGGGCTCTGTAGTGAAGCAACAAGCTGTGGTCCCACAGGGTACAGTTCTGTGCAGAGCCACAGGGATCCAGCTTTTTGTTTTCTTCTGGGTTACAGCTTCCCCCCATCCCTCCCTCATCCATGGCAGGGTGCGTGGACCACACTGGTCTCACCTTTCTCCATCACTCCTCGCTGCAGCACCATCCATTTGGGTGAGTGATGCAGGAGATGCACCCTTACACTGGGACCTGCTGCTCTCCCTCTTTTTTAAACGCATTATCCCAATTCATTGTTCTGAATAGTAGAAACTTTGTGTTTTGGGAGACAGTTGTTTCTTATTAACTAGCTGATCTTCATATACCCAAAGCTGTTCATGTAAGGATGAGCTGTGAGTCAGAGAGGGGTTTTGTCGTCCTTCCACGCTAGATATGAGGGCTGCCAGGGTTATCTGTCTGACTGTCTGAATGCGTGATGAGAGCAGAGTAAAACTGCAGTCATGGCCTGGGCAGGGATACCTAAAATTAACATCAAAAGAAAAGGAAGGAGCTGTCTGAATACAACCTGCAAGCCTTTAATTCTTTGTGACAGTGATACCCTGAGCCTGGTTATCTCGAGCATCACTGTTCTTGCAGCTGATTCTGTATGGGAAGAGGAAGGTTTAATAGAAGGTATAATAATCTCTCTCAGATGTTTTGATTTTTTTCCCTTTTCATTCCAAACTGTAAGTGCAGTTTCCTCCACTTTGAACAGGTCTTTTTATGTTTGGCTGCCTTTCAGATTGGGGAGACTCATGTTTCTTCAGTATATAAAATGAATCTGGCAGCCTGGTTTTGTGCTTCAACCTCCCAAAGAGACAAGCAAGCATAAAGCAAGAAGATTCACAGCGTACTATAGCGCTCCACTTATTAAAAAAGTAGATAATAAAATCCTCTGTGAACATCCTGTTTCAGCCCTGCAGTAAAACTCACCAGTCAGTAAATGGGGGATCTCCTGTTCCCATGGAGAAAGGCAGTTGCAGACAGACTTAAGAGGTTGCTGTGGGAAAGGGGAGGGGATCAGAAAGATCCACTCTTGGCCTTGCACACAAAGGTTGCCTTGGATTGCAGTCACATGTTGTAGTTCAGCTGATCTCGCTCATGCCAAAAGGGGAAAGATTTCTAGGACTTGCCTGAACCCCACTGAACTGGTTTAGGGAATTCATTCCAAGAAAATGATTTACTTTCTTTTTTCCTTTTATTTTCCCCAGCTAGTTTTCTCTTAGATCCAATTGCATGGACTCACCAGGTCAGGGGAGCCAGGGGGAACTGGGACAGGATCACCTCCTTGATGGTATCTGGCCATTGGGTGAATTTAACTGTGATTTAATGTTGCACCATTGACGAATGTCTTCTGGCTTTTTCCTGCTGAGGATGAAGCAGTCTCTTAGGTACCCAAATTTGGGATGCTGCTGAGCTTTGTAAATCATATCCAATGACCTAGTTGTGCCAAGCATTTTAGGGCAGAAGCACCTGAAAGAACATCTGGGGGTTAATTGCAACCCCCAGGCACCTCAGATGAGCTGACAAGCTGGTGTTGGTGGAAACCTCACTGTGCATGTGTCTGTGTTCAGTAAACACTGTTGGCCAGGTCAAGCGCCTTGTCTTGGGTACACCTTTGTGTGTCCATGCTGGGGAGGGTGTTCAGGAGACCCTCATATGGCTGGACATGATGTGCAATTACACAAAATGCACTGCTTTGGTTTCACAGAGCTGGTATTTAGGTAGATATGTATGTTACATGCGTTATACAGAGCTTTCTGAGGTAAAGCCAGTGTAACAGGTTTAGCTCTCCTCCTGAGCGGTTTTCTCAGGGCTTAAGGTTTATTTCTGATCTCTATAAAGTGTATCAGGTCCTTAGGTTTCAGAGGGCCCCTCTTCTGAAGGGTCTCAGAAAAGACAGGTATTGAAATGCTTTTCCTTTTCCATGACATTTTCCATGTCATTGTGCCCATGCGTGTGCTGGGTCTGGCTGGCTCTGAAGAGCTTCTGGGCTCACAGTCCCTGGGAGTGCCACTGCCCAGCTCAAGCCATTCTCTTGCAACTGTGGGACCCCATGTGTCTTTAATTACTGGGGGAAATTCAACTACTTATAAACCCCCCAGAGCTTTTTGTTTTGAATGGGCTGGTGATTATTTTCCTTTTTATTTATTTAGGGTTTTCTTAACCCAAAACATTATGGATTAGGGCTGCTGAATGAAAAATAAGCAGTGAAAAGGATTTATTTTCTTAATTTCGCTGGAAAAGCCTATCTGTGTTTCTTGGGTGAGGCAGAATGAAATACTTGCCACTTCCCAAGCTTCCTGTGCTGCCTTATGGCATCACAAGCTTTGTTCCGCAGCACCCGGTGCTGGAGATGAAAAGCTTTGGTGCGTGCTTCCTTCGGGGCAAAATGGATTTCTGCTCAAAAACCTCACTTCTAGGGACTGAGGTTTTTAAATGCTTAAAAAATGAGGCTTGTACCTTATCTCTTGGGAGATCATTGATGGATCCATTTCTCAGAGCGATATTTTATTCAGTCCTTTAATGCTATGCCACTCCCTTCATTCAGATGCCTGGAGTCTTTTATCATGTCTCCTCTTAGTCATTGCTTAGCCAAGTTGAGCATATATTAGTTCTTTTAATCTTTCCTCCTAACTCAACTGTCTTTAATCATCCTTCTTGATGTCAGAGTGTTTGATGCCCACTTTTAGGGAAAACAAGCCTAGGTTTTTATTCTGGGGTGCGTGTGAATCGCTTGGGAAAGGTCCCAGGAGAGCAGCCCAAGCTTGGCGGCCAATTGCCCATGCTCATGCCTGGATCTCTCAAAAGCTCCTTCGAGCGTCTTGATGTAGGGGAAGATTTCTGGCTCACCTCATGCACCACTGGACTTGGCACCCTGTGGGGTTAATACCGTGTTTATTTGTTGGGTGTAGGCAGCAGCACCCCCCCTAAGACGTTTCGTGGGTTGTGTTTCCAGGGGCACATTTCTCTGGGCATCTGCAGGAGGGTGCAGGTGCTGATGGTGTTTATGGAAAACAGGCCCAGAAAAGTTACTGTAATGTGCATTTCCTTCCTGTGCCCTCCAGCAACAAGAATGAGAAAGAGCTTTCATTTGCTTCTACCATCTCAAAAGGTGGTGATCGGATGTTTTCAGGTGCCGATGCTGCAGGTCAGGGCAAGGCAATGTTTGTAGGTGCTACCAGGGATGGTGACCCCTTTTTACTTGCAGGTATTGATGCCATCCTTCTTGAGTACTTCATCTATTTTGCACTCAAATTGTCATTCACAGCTTCTTAGATCAGTTTGAATGTAGTGATTGCTGCTAGCTGTTACCAAGCTGAGCACTGCATCCCTTCAGGGCAGGGTCTTCAAACTAGGCTATCTGAAGTTAAGTGCCTCCTTTCCTGCATGGAGATGTCCCACATTCCCCTCAATATACCTCCTGGAAACCTGTTATGTCAGTGGGATCTGTTTCAGAAAGCCTGACTCAATCATCTTTAAATAGCCAGGCTCAGATGCTGACTCCAAGGGGTTAAGGCACTGGATCTCCAGGTTTGCTGGGTCTGGGCCATTGCTGCACAGCTTGGGGTAGCATCCCTGACATGGACTTTGAATTACAGAGCACTTGGCAGGGAGTTAAAGGAGGCCAAAAGCCTGCCTGTCCCTCCCCCACCATTCTGAGGGAATGCTTCTCATACTCTCCCAAATTTAGCAGTGCAAATGTGGCTGGGTTAAGTAGGCTGAGTGATGAGGCTATTCTGATGGTAATAGAGGTCCCCTTACCCTGCTCTGCCTCCAGCTCATGTGTGATATATGGCTCTGTGTCTGATATATGGCTGTGTGATATATGGCTGCCCTGACAAGGGGTCCAGTGGCCTGAGAAGAAAGAGAGAATGGAGACCTAGATGGTGGGAGAAAAAGGCCACTGGGACCACCACCCCACACAGTGCTGTGTGCCTGAGCAGCAGCCTGCTGTCGTCTGGCTGTCCATTGCAACCCTTGGGCAGTAACATGGCGTGTCAGAGCATGTGGAGGGCACCATGAGGAAAAGCTCACATCCTCTCCATGGTGCTGCTGGGATGCTCTGGGTCATGCAGCACTGGTCCTCTGCCTCCCCTCTTTTTCCTCGCTGTTTTTGGCCAGCCTTAGGTGGGCACCTTCAGGACATTTCTTCATCATCCCAGGCTGTCTGGCACTCCTGGCTGTATTTCCTCCCATTACCATTTGGGAACATTTGAGGGATTGCTTTAGAGCTGACAGTGAACGTCACAGGAGGACATGGTGCCCTGTTGCTGGGTCGTCCTGAGTGTTCATCATGCGACAGGCCGTAGTGCTCCATCATTCATGCTAGTCCATTTGCTGCTGCCTCAGCTGCTCACAAGGGGCTCCTGTCACCTCCCCAGTTTATATGTCTATTTAGATAGGTAATACAGGTACAAAATAAATACATATATAAATATTTAAATAGATATGTAAGCTGTGATTTCTATACACTTGCTTTCCAGTGCATCCTGATTTTGAAGAACTGAGGAAATGAAGCTTTTCAGCTGGAGGGATGGGACAAGGCTGGGCTTGCTGACGTTTCTTTTGTTGTAATGTCATATAGGTCCTGGTTGACTGTGAAAAGGAGAGAGGAGGAGAGTGTGGAAGGGAGGTCAGATCCTGCCAGGGTTTCCTGGAAAGTGAGGTGAGTGGTGATGGCTTTCAGCACTTGTAAGCCTGGAAATACAGCCCTCCTGGGCTTCCCTGCAGCCTTTGGGCGAGGCCTCTTCTATTGAACCTCCAGATGTAATTTTTATCATGGGTTTCCCTGTAGTTTGCCTCTTCAAGGCTGCTGGGAGAATTTTAGACTGCTGATGTACTTGGGGGTCTCAAAAGGGTTGGAGACAACCTTCAATTGGAGGACTATGCATCACAGACGGCTTGTTTCTGGTTGTAGTTGGGCTTCACAGCAGACTTGGAGCCCTCTTCTGCAATTACCTATTACTGAACCAGTCTCTCCCAGCCTCCTTTTACAGTCACTGGAGGGAAATGGATATGTTTAGGACGCACCTGCCCCTGCAGGTATCTGCATGGGATGAATCAATCCCTGTAATAGTTGTTCTCCACACTGTCAGCTCAGCAGGGATGGCTTGTTTGGATGTGGGGTCTGCAAGGCATATCTAATGTCTGCTCCCTGTATAGGAAGACTTGGAGTTCATGGTGCTTGATGTTGGCTTGGGGTGTATGAACCAATTGCATGAAAGCTTGGGCCTCTCCTAAGCTTCCCTTAAATTTTGTTCAAGGTTTAGGCACAGTTTAAACCTATAAGCCACTTGTCTGAGCCTCCTCTCAACGTTTATACACCCTGACTGGCAGTGTATGCATGTTCCTGAAGGATAGGGTATGATCACCCATGAGGTTTCAGTCCAACTGGGTCATCTCATGCTGGATGTTGCAGTCCCAGTGGGGACCAGCAGGACAACTCCAGCACCAGGAGCACTGAGCCCCAGTGAGGCTGCTGGGGCTGCCCGCAGATCTCCTGGGAACCAGCCCTGTGCCACTCTGGCCTCTGTCTGGCTTTTCAAGTAATAAGGCTTGTGACTTTTCAGCCACAGCAAGAAGGTTTGGAGCAATGCTTACCCTGTCCCTCTGGGAGCCCAACACCTGTAGTGGGAGCATCCATATCCCAATAACTTGGCTATGGTGCAGCAGCCCGTAGGTATGATAATGTGAAGAGCTGAGACCTGCGTGTCAAATATCTGTTGGTTAGCATCTCCCTTGAGAGCTTTTGTGCAGTTCGCTGCATCTCCTGCACAGGGGAAGTTTTACCCCTCAGATCCCATCTGCTTTTACTGAGCCACCTCCTCTGCTTCACCTCTGTTTTTGTTGAGGGACAGGAACATTGTTTTCTACTTGTGTTTGCAGAGTGCTTAGCCTATGCTGGCAAAACTGCTGCAGTGTGAATAAATAGAGTAGAAAAGGTTAAACTTTAGATGTACAAGCTGTTGTACCTAAGCAAATGAAACTCTAAGATCTTTGGTATGCTTTTGCTTCTGCTGATGCCCTCAATATGTTCTCAGAGGTGCAGCTGTTGAGAAAGAGAGATTGATATTGATGGTCTGTCATCAAGATTGTCACCTTAAATCAAGGAACAAATATAATTTGCTGTCATATATCACTCCTGTTTAATTTTAAGTGGGCAAAGAGAATGTTTGTGTTTTTCTTACACAGAGAGTTTCTCCTGCAATTTACTGTTAGTGTTTCTGTGTTATGAGTCATTGAAGTGTTTTCACTGCAGCCCCAGAGAGAGGAAATGCTCTGTTTTATAGGGAGGGAAACACTGTCAAGGTGAAGTTGTGTGGTTACAGCCCTTTGCCTGAACCTTGGCCATGTCCAGGTGGGGAATACATACATCTTCTACATTCCATCTGTCTGCCTTGGGGACCAGAAGATCTTGCAGGTCTGATGGTCGCCTTGGGTTCAGTGCTTGCTTTTGCCACTGGTCTCTTTGCTGTGAGGTTGTGCATTGATCCTCCATCCAGAGAACAGGAAAACAGAGACTTTGAAGTTGTGTGAGAAGTACTTTAAGGATGAGTGATGTAAGAGGAGATCTCAGTGCTGTGCCTAAGCACGGGTGATGCTTTCTGCAGTATCACTGGTTCCCAGCAAAGAGCCTAATTTTCACTTGGCTGCTGGCCATCTGGCTGGCTTTTCCCTGATAAAGTTCACTCCAGCTGGCTTCCCTTCTCCATTCCCCTTTTTTGGAAGCATCTTTGTGCTGGGCTGACACATTGGACATCAGTGAGAGCATTCGGGGCTCAGAGATGTGGAACCACCGATCCCGACTTAGTGTGGCTCTTCACTTTCCTTGGGTTTGGTGTGCTGGGAGGCTTTGTGATTATGGGATATGGTAAGTGGGAGAATGTGCTCATCTCCACCTTGACCAAGACAAAGTGAGAGGGGTTTTGCAAGTCTCAAATGACACTGGTTGACTATTCTGAAGGGGTGTGAATTGGGGGTGGGTGGAGAAGGAGGTTTGTTATCTGCTCTCCAGCAGCTGAAAGCAGGTGTTCAGTCAACGGGAGTTGCCCTAAAGGCAGAATAAGGATGCAAATGACCTGCAAAACATAAAAGGAACCGTCTGAATGCCCTTTTCTGCCCCTAAGGAAGTTTACCTCCACCCTGTGCAATTTGCATGATGCAAGTTGATCAGCCCTGAGAAAAGGCAGTTCAGTCTAAGGTGACAAGATAACTCTAACTCTGTCAAGCCTGAGGATCTTGCAAAGAGGCAAAAAATGGGGCAAAACCCAAATACCAGGCCAGGAGAGGATGCATGGTTGTGGAGATGCTTTCCTGGTGGGGAGCTGGGTCCCTGGGCTAGCTGGGTGCTCAGGTGTGGACAGAATTTCATCAGCAGTTAATTGCTAACAGTGGCTAGTTGGCTAGTTCACTTCCAAGGTAAGTCCCTGGAAGTTTAAACCTACCTGGAAGGGATTTTAGGCTGTGCTTTGCCTCATGTTTAATGCAGAATCCAATCAACTGCTGCAGCTGCAGGGGTAACAGGCTAAGTGGTGACAACCCGCTAGCTCAAAACCACTGTGGGTTTAGGCCCACTCTTGGGCAGAGTGGCGATGCTGAGTGCAGTGGGGAGCAGCTGAGCTGTTGCTTTTCCGTTCTGCCCCAATTCTGACGATTTTTACACCGAAACAAGGCTTTTGCTGCAGTTGTTTGGGTTTTTTTTTTTGCTGTGATTTGGCCCTGCACACCTGTCCTGTCAGGCGCCATCAGCTCAGCCATTGCTGCAGATGGCTGGTCTCCCTCATGTCTCACCTGTGCTCTCGTGGCATGAATGACACACTTAATTCCATTCAGCCTCATTAATTTTCCCAATGTTAATGATCACTTCCTCATCGTCCCCCCCCAAAGCTCAGACACTGACTCTTTCACAGCGAGGGTTAAATGCTTGTTTATTTAGCAGGCTGCGCCTCCCCCTTTCTGATTTCATTTGATAAGTGCAGGATGTGATGATAAAAATCTGTTTGAGCTGTCTCTTATTTCAGGCATTTTGTTTTCTTTAAAGCATCTTCTTGGAATGATGAGTGTGTGCGTGGATGCCTGGATAGGGACATTCTTTGCAGGCTTCGTCTTTGCCTGCATGGACACCCAGGCGTTTGATCAAAGGTTTCAAGGTGTTACATCCTCTCAGAGCTGTTGCTGTAAACCTGGAAGAAATAAATGGTGGTGTTTTCAGTCTGGTCTTCCCTCAGCTCCTTGCATTTTCCTCTTCAGGATTCAGCTGCTCCTCATCAGAGGCTCCCAGCATCATCTGAGCCAGGTAATGGCTTGCCACGTTTGGTGTTCCACGTGTCTGTGCCTAGAAAGTGCACAGCATCACATAGATTCATACAGTCTCCTTTCCAAATTGCATGGGGTGTATGGCCATGCGGCTCCTGTGTGTTCATGAGGGGATCCATTAGCAGACCACATATATTTAGTTGAACCAGGTGTTTTCTGGTCTGTTTTTTCAGGTTTTGCATCAATGGGTTGTTCAGTTCTGCTGGTTCCTATGAAAGTTAACGGTGTCTATGGATGGTTAAATCACACACATCTAACAAGCTGCTCTCAGAGGTGGTTTGTATCATCTGTGTTATTTTCTTGATTGTGTTTTCAGTGCCTCCATGCCTTTACCTTCCTCTGCACAGAACTGCCCTGACCTTGGTGTCTCCCCAGGGTGTGTTTCCTGGGAAGCTTAAGGATGTAACAAGAGGAGTTGAAGGCCATCATCCAGGCATTGTCCATGGGGGGGACCTGGGGGAAACTAACTGTGGTGGAGGCAGAGAACCTGGGAGAGCATCTGGGCCATTGGTGTCTCCTACAACGCAACAGGACTCAAGGGAAAGGCCCCAAAATGCTGACAGGGAGGGACTGCAGGTGGTCTCCAGTGCTTACTGGGGGAGGACAGCCAGCACTTCCAGAGGTGGGGATGTGCCCACCTCTTGAGGTGACCCTTCTCAACATTGCACCACTTTGCTCATAGGAAAGCTTGCCACATGTCCTACATGGCCACAACTTGTGGATGTTGCCCTTTGCTACATAGTCTCTCTCAGCTGAGATGGGATGGATGTTGAAGGGAAGAAGCAGGGAGAGGTCTCCTTTGGGCCTATTGCAGACAACAAGTGATGACACTGGTGGGTAGTAAATGCATCTGCAGCACGTCCTGCAGAGGTTCCTCCTTTGGAGAGATGTTGTCCTTGTGCAGATGTTTTTCCTTAATAGATTTGACCCTTTTGAAGAAAACCATGTTCTTTTTCTGAACTATGAAATAGTGTATTGAAAACCAATATAGAGTAAAACGAGCTTAGGTCAAGATGGATTAATTATTAAAACTAGGGCATATTCTGCTAATGCCCCAGTGCCCTGGGGGCAATGTTTCTTAACCATAACCCTGAGTCATAACTGCCTACTTGATTGCAACTTGTAACCAGACCAGTATTGCCGTGGAGAGGATGGCACACAGGCTGGAGCCAAGAGGCTTGAGAGCTCCATGTTGACAGGGCTAGTTGGGTGCATGGTGCCAATGCACCTTCATGGAAGGGAGGATTAAATATTGGACAGAACAACACATGAACCAAAATGTCAAATGGCTGCATGTGTTGGGTTTGCATTTTGTTTTCTTTTGTTTGTTTGCCTGACTTTGACAACTGGATTCTCAAAATATGGGGACCTGAGAGGTCTTTAACAGCAATAGGTGGAGCTCAGCTGTGGAAGAAAGGGTTATGCTTGTGGGAGGGAGGGCTTATTGCTCAAGCAGACACACTTGGAGTGGCTGGCTTGGAATGAGATGGGTGGTGGCTTTTGATCTTGTCATTCCTTGTGGTCATGACAGGGAAAGCTGATGTTCCTGCAAATTGACTATGCATAGTGGCATGTCAGGAATAACTCCTTGCTGTTCCTGTGTGACTTTGGGCAGGTCACACAGTTGGACCAAAAGCATCCAGAAGTGTGAGTTGGCAGCTGAAATGCTGACCCATTTGGAGATATAAGATTGGATATAAGGAGGAAATTCTTTCCTGTTAGGGTGGTGAGGCACTGGAATAGGTTGCCCAGGGAGGTTGTGAATGCTCCATCCCTGGCAGTGCTCAAGACCAGGTTGGACGAAGCCTTGGGTGACATGGTTTAGTGTGAGGTGTCCCTGCCCATGACAGGGGGGTTGGAAGTGGATGATCTTAAGGTCCTTTCCAACCCTAAATACTCTATGATTCTGTGATTCTGTGATATTATACCAGCATGATTTTGCCAATTGGAGATGGTATTTGGTGAATTTCATTGCTCCTGAATGGGTGAGGTTAGGTGTGAAATCCAAAAAAACTGTTTTCCAATGTAAACTCCAGTTACATTCAGTGGGAAGAGGGGGAGCAAATGATGGTTTGGGGTAGCCTGTTCTTCCATGGACCATGGAGATTTTCCAGACAGTTGGCTTACATTAGATTCCTGATTTCCAGACAGCGGGGCTTAGGAAGAGACCAGTCTCACCTTTCAATTCCTTGGTGTCTCTGTTGCGTGTGTGTAAAATGAGTTTAATATTAAGTCCTTGTTCCACTGAAACAGAGGGTAAATATGAAATTTGGAGCTGCTGCCTGGCTACAGCAGCAGACGGGTGATTGCATTTGAGACAACAGGCTGATCTTGGCCATGGGCAGCATCTTTGAAACTGCCAGCATGCCAGGAGTTAATGGACAGACTTGAGTTTCTCCTGGTGAACCCATGCATTAAGGCTTTGAAAGCAATTTCACTGCTGCACGCCACCACAGACCTTTTTATTTAAGATGTTCCTTTCATAGAGCTTCAAATAGCAGTCCCGTCTGACTGAAATCAGAATCTCCAGGAGAGATTAGGACAATTTCGCTTGAGGTTTCTGTTGTGGTTGCTCGCAGGAGAAGAAAAAGAGGGTAAGATAACCAAGGTCAGCACCTCACTTCAAGCTGCCAGTATTGCTGCTCTGGAGGAGAGAGGGATTGAGTTACCCCCTGCTTGTAATTCATCCCTCGTGCCCACAGCCAAATAATCCACCAAAACAGCCACAAAAAGGATGGGAAAGTTAGAAAAACTTTATTCTGTAAGCTGAACTGGGAAAATGATGCTCAGAGCTGCGTGGGTGCATTGGGCACAGATTTGTCTTCGGAAAGCACTGGGAAGGGATTTTTCCCAAGGTTTTGCGATAAAAGTGCTATGTCCGTAAAGTGTGGAGCAGAGCATGCCACTTCAGATGCACCATACTTGCCCCTGTCTGAATTCTGCATCAGACTTTTGGGTGTAATGATTCTGATTGTGTTTTGCATTTGTTATTGCTCAATATAAGTATCACCTATATTTAACTTTGATTAATTATGGTTTAATACTGTAGTAGGTTTTGTTATAAATTAGTACTACGTTGTATTTCTTAGTCTTACTTTTCTAGAGGAGTTGTTCAATGATCCCAGCCCTGTGATGCTCGTGTGCCCACTCCAATGCTACTCGATGGCAAAATTGAAGGGAAAATTCTAGTTCAGATATGGAGATCATTAGTTTGGGCTGGCTGGTTCCCCTGTTGTTTCTTGTGCACCTTACTTTGCTACTTTGCTTTTTGCTTTCCTAGTGTGCCTGCTAGGTCATGCACATGGACTTAATGACTGGGTAGAAAGACACCAATAGTGCTAGCATGCTTTGGGGGCAGAAAAGGAACCAAAGTTAATCATGGGGTCAAGTCACAGAGGAAAAATGGAGCCTTCTTATCAACTCCAACCTGAAGGAACCAGTGGAGCAAAATGCCCGCATAATACACCCATCTTTTGGACCTGATTGGAAGAAGATGTTCTTAGTGCATGGACATTCATTATCATTGTTATAATGGCATCTCCTTAAGGCCTCCACATAGTTGTGATGGTGACTACGAAGGAGATGGAGACCTCTTGTGACTCTGTCAGTCTGACATACTTGCCTAATGTAAATCACAGTCCATCTGAATTGTAACTGGCTTTGTTGTAGCAAGTAAAGGTCTCCAGGAAGCTCTGGACTTTCTCAATTGATGACCTGAAAACAGGCACATAGAGTGTGTGAGGTGTGAAGTAGGGAGGATGGCTTGTTCCTTTGAGACAGTTAGGTTTTTACTGGGAGGAGAATGCGAGGATGAAATTATGGCAGGTAAATGTGCCGTGTACCTTGACTTGAGGTCTTCAGCTGAGTCAGGCCCTAGGCCAGACCAGGACACTGCTGCCTCCAACAAGGGTCTTGGTGGGTCTGGTATGACAGGGCGGACTGTAGACTGGATTTCAGCTCAATTTTACGTCCGGTTGCTTGGCTGAACGAAGAGGCAGCTCTTCGTCTAAAGAGCACCACAGCTTGCCACTGAGGGCTGTGACTGATCAGCACTGGTGGCCCTGCATCCTCTGTTGCTGAGGTTGTTCCTGGTGGTGGGGTCAAAGATGCCATATTCCAGCAAAGGAGGAGACCTTACAGTGTGATAGAGGTGACAGAGGCATTAAAATGTTGAGCCTGACTTTTGTCACTGTCACCATCAATCAGTGAGAGCTCTGAAGATGGAAAGGTTTCAGCACTATGAAGTTACTGAAGGAGGGAAGACACTCAACATGATTAGCTTAATATTAACTCAAGCCATAGGGAGTTTAGGATGGGTTGATGAATGTGTGGGCATGAGCAAGCCTCCCTAAATTGGTCTGGGTCATATCAGCCAAAGGGGGATTTTTCCAGGTTGGTCCTTATGTTCTCCAAGCGAGGAAGGTTGAATGTCATTGTAGCTGAAGCTGCAGGAAGGCTCTGGCTGACACTGTGGCAACAACACTCCAAATCTATGTATTATTCCTTTCACAAATAAAGCTAGAACAAGAAAAATGTCTTCTGTCAGCCTGGCCTTTGAAATACAAATGAGCAAGACCAGCCTCAGTTGTAAATGTCATGATGTGCTTTGTGCGCTCTCTTCATAATGTGGTTGTTTTTCTTTCCTGGTTAATGCATTTTCAGCCTCTTGCTTCAAGTGATGCTTTGACAAAAGGGAAAGGTGAAGAGAAGAGGGTTGCTGTGCTGCATGTGGAGTCCTGCAGGGCTGTTTCCCTACTGTAGAGCTGCACTGACCCTGTGTCAACTTCAAACCATCAGCGCTGTGCTCCTGTGAAATCCCAGCAGATGGTGGAAGTACCTGTGGCCTCATTTTGCTATGTTGTCAAATTTGGGGCAGTGGTGGATGAAGGGGCAATGCACAACTCTCTGGCTTGAGAGCCTTGGCTTTTTCTATGTGCTGCATATTCCACTTAGGGTCTTCTTGTGTCCATCTGTCAAGTAGTGTGTGCTTACTTGCTGAAACCCTTTCCTCCTGTTGTAAGGATGAGTTATCCTGTACTAGACCACCACTGATTAGCCATGCTCAGCCAGCTGGCAAAGCCTGCTGCAATCCAAAGTGCTGTGTTTACCATATCAGCTTTGGGGTCAGCTCTTCACCGCCCCTTGCATGATGCAGTTTTGGGCTTTGCACTAACCCATGCAGCCTCTTTGTGAGCTTCTTCCCTTCAAAAGTGAATCACAGAGCCAAGACTGGAATAGGATATGTTGCTTCTGCAGAGAGGCTGGTTATGACAACTGATTGTGTTATTCTGGGTTATACCACCATGGGCTGGCTGGTTTTGCTGCTGTTTCTGTTCTGTCTGGGATTAACCTGATGGTGACAATGAAACAGAAAATAACATTAAAAGGGAATGAAAACCTCAGAATGATATTTTGGATGCCAGAGGATGCTCATCCTCAAAATGTAATTGTTTTAAACTAACTTGATGATTATTTCAAGCCAGCTTTACAGACTCCTGTCTGAATAATGGGCATTTCTGTGGAGTTAATCAGAAAGAATTGCAGTTTCTTTTATGATGGGCAGAAATAGCTCTCAGACTCGGGACAATGTGTAACAGCAATGACTCGATCTGTTGACTTAGGCAGAAATATGCAGCCAGTTTAAAATATAAAAAAAATCTGGAAATATCTCATGGGTCTGGGAATCAGTGCTGGAAATTGCTCTGGAGCTTTACTGGCAGTTGGTGAATAAAGTTGTTGAGAGGAGTAGCAGGAGCACAGGAGATGCTCTCTGGGTTCAGGTGGGCCAGAGATGCTCATCCTCCTCATCTCTCACTCTGCCCATCTGCAAAGGCTGAGCATCCCAGTCTGAACTTAACCCTGTGCCTTTTTGCTTCAGGCTGAGAGAGGAAAGAATCTATGGACAAAAGGTCCAAAGTCCTGGACCAAATTTTTGGCTGATGAGTTTTGCTGGATCAGAGCTGTTTTCTGAGAGTGACAGAGCCTAGAGAGGGCTTGTCCATTCCATCTTGGATACTGCAGGATTGTAGTTTAAATGCCCACTGCAGGATTGTAGTTTAAATGCCCACAGCCGGTGCTGCATACTATGTTAAGTGATCCAGCTGGCACAGAGGTGCTTGGGTGCCTCAGTGAAGGGTTTTTCAGGATATCCCATCAAACCTGCATTATCCAGCACTTAAGGTCTGGGAGATGACTTGTGGTTTCCCCAAATCCATGCACATCTGGGAGCTGGGATGCACTTGCCTTTCTCTGCTATGCTCAAGGGTAGCACTGTGCTGCACCTGCATCCCAACCCAGGGCTGTTTCTGCAAAGGATGCATCGCTAATACAGACCGTGTGGATTTGGCAGGATATCAGGGTACTATACGGGATGCAGGGGGCAGACATCATATACCTCCTTTCTGGCTGGTTATATCCTACTTTGCAGTGAATTTCCTACCACCACCACCCCTGTTTTCAGCATTTTAGTTAAAAACAAATAGCCTGGGGTTGTATAATAGGATGTTTGCTGATCCCTATGATGCTCGGTCACAGAGGATACACACAGGAGCCGGTGTTGGAGCCCTGTGCCCAGGTCCCTCCC